GTTGTTGGTTTAGGAGGACCTGAGGAGACCAGTTGTTGGTTTAGGAGTGGTCTGGTCTGATGGAGGACTGTAGCTGTTCTTCTCTCCTGGATGGAATCAGACGTTCTAAAACCTGAAGATGTTTTTCTGCATTGATAGGGTTTCCAGATGTGTCAGCTGCCCATGTCAGAGGCACTAATGCACCACTATACCATCAGAGAGGCAGCTGTTTTGTAGAGCTGCTTCCTCCCAGCAAGAAGGTCGCCAGATCAAATCCCGGCCGGGGGCCTTTCTGGGTGGAGTTTGCATGTTCTCTCCGGGTGTTACCTCCGGGTACTCCTGTTTCCTCCCACAGACCAAAAACATGCACGTTAGGCTGATTGGTGACTCTAAATTGTCCCTAGGTGAGAGTGAGAGGTTGTTTGTCTGTGTGTCCCTGTGATGGACTGGAGACCTGTCCAGGATGTCCCTCACCTCTCACACAGTGATTGCTGGACATGAACTCCAGTGACCCCTGTGACCCAAAAAGGAAGAAGTGGGTAAAACTGATGGTTGGATGATGGTTGGATGGATAAATGGATGAATATCGCTCCTCCAGCCGGTTCTGCCGTGTTTTCCCGTCTGTCGTTGCTCCGGTTGTTTCATAGTTTTGTTGCTTCCATCAAACCTAAACTGGCCTCATCTTTATGTCATAAATTCTATTTCTCATCGAAGCTTCGTTCTTTCACTTTAAACTTCTGAGACGTTTTTCTTTGTCCCACTCTGGATAAAATATGAGTTTATTATGGAATCACTGCATCCTGTTTTTATTTACACGGCTTTTTAAACTTCTTCAGATTTGTGCGTCGTGAACATCCGAGGCTAAAGAAACAAAACCGTTTCAGCTGTTAAAAGCTGAATTCTCTCCTGGATCGCAGCCGAAGGATGGAGGATCTTGGCTCAGGTCAGGGGTAGAAATTAATTTTTACGTTTCGTCTGTTAATCTTGTAGGAATCGGTTTCAAAGGCTCCGTGACCTGTAATCCCCCCCGGTCACTAAGCAGTTGTTTTGTTTTGTTTGTAAAAGTTGTTCACGGTTTCAGCTGCAGGAGGTTCATCACGTCTGCTCCGTCACGATAAACATTTACCACAAGGAGCTGAAAACAGGCGAACGTTCCTGATGACCGCTGCATCATGACGTTCTTACTGGGAGCGCTCGTTCGTCGTTTTTGTGTTTGTTGTTGTGTTTCTGTTCTGACAACAAACTGCAGAGCGCATTCCAGTAAAGGTCACGACCTCTGCTTCCCCCCACACCCACACACGTCCTGGATGGACACATCCTGAGCAGATGGAGGGTTCTGAATGTGAACGCCGCTCTCACACAAACTGTTTTGACCTTTTTGAAAACACTGATGCATCCTCAGAATAAACTGGATTATCTCGTCCTCTCGTCTGTTCTCACTTTAAATCCATCCTCGGGTTTAAGTCTTCGTCACGGAAACACATGCACATCGATACGTAACGCAGTTTAAAGACAAAAATGGACGTCCGTGGAGTTTTGGTGAAACGGATGAGAAAACTTCAGAGGTCGATAAGTCGGGCAGACTTCATTTATAGTTTCTTCATTTCTGAGACCGAACTCGTTCAGGTCTTTAACGGTTTTTACACAATCGCACTTTAGATTTGTTCACTTGTCTTCTGTGAAACGTTTGCAGATAAACTCTTCACGCTCCCACAGCCTTTTTGGAAGCGAGTATGAATTTTACATCAAAGCGTCGAGGTTCTGTCCTCTCACCCAGTGTGAAAAGTCTTTAAACTCGTCTCCAACATCAAATGTTGGAGAAGCTTAAAAATTCTCAACAACCTTCTGCTCGTGGATCACAAATTTAAAAAATCTGACCGGCATTTTTTTTTTCTCACAGCGACTGTTTGAGGTTTACTTTTCAGTCCGTTTCTGTCGGCCTCTCATTAACCTCAGGGAGTGACAGACAGAGGTGTGGCGTTACCATGGTGACCGCAGGAAGCTTGCATCAAAACCCATCAGTCTGGCACAAACACAGACCGTGCACCAGATACAGAGACAAGATTTTGATCAGTAAATAAACGTCTGATAAAACAAAATAATCACTAAATGAATGGATAACGTTGAATGAAAAATTATTTAGATGTAAATGTATTATTATACAAAAAATACAGATAAAAGGAAAACGTGCATTGAACTGTAGTCATTTAAACATGTATTAATTTAATTTAAATTATTTCCTCTTATTATTTATTATAAATGTTTACAATATTAGTAATTATTATTGTTATTTCAACATTTAAAGCCTGACACACTCTTGTGAGCCACACCAGAACCGACTGGAACAATCTCCGACCAACCCCCACACGCTGGAGTAAACAGGACGGAGCGGTGACGTCAGGGGGCGTGGCTTCAGCTGCGCCGTTTGTTTGGAGCGGAAGTCGAGCCAAAAATGGGAATCGACACACAAAACAAAACAAAAAAAGAATTAAAAGTATTGTCAACTCAACTCAGTTTATATAGCGCCAAGTAACAACAGAAGTCATCAGTGGGCGCTGTACAGAAACATTCATATACATAAAAGTAAGTTAATAACATAATTTATCTGAGGAGCCAGCAGATCGGATGGCCTTTTGAATAACATCTAAAATCTTTATCGTTAAATTAGTGGACTGTATGATTTGAAACTTCTGTGATAAAACAATCATTTCACAATTTATTCACTGTCATAATGAACAGTTTTTACATGAAAACTCGGGTAAAGTAAGTGAAGGTGCTCCTTACACGGTGGGTTTACGTCGTAACTCGGGTACGACTTTTACTCTGAAAGTGTGAGCGGAAGTGGCTAACAGCAGTTAGCTTCGCTTAGCTTCGCGCTTGTATTTACACACGGTGTTTTGCTGCGGCTGAATCAAAACAATTACAGGTTAGAGACGCTTCTGGGCGCTCTGATGAAACATGGAGAAGGAAAACGAGACTGTGGCGGTTAAAAAGTAAGATTCATTTCTTCAAACTAACCCTTTAAACGCAGTTAAATAGCTTTTTATTTGTTGCGCTCTAATTTTCCATGGCGACTAGCTCGGGCCGCTGGTTTTCACTGTTCGACTCCGATTCAAAGACCCGACTCCGGTCACTTTTCACGGCTTAGTTTAAATCTTAAAAACGGTTTGAAGCAGGTTTTGTTATAAACAGCAGTTTAGACTGAGCTCGTGGTTGCAGTTCTGCTGTGTGTGTTTGATGGAGGCTCTGCGTGGTTCCAGGCTCGGTTCTGACCCATGTGGGGCTGTGTTGCCAGGTTTACAGCAGTGTTTCCTTATTTCCTGTAAATCTGGAGTGGAGTTAATCCAGGTCATTGATCAGTTACAGATGAACGTGTCCGTGTTTTTAACTCTTTTGTTGCCATTTCATGTCGGTTTCTGTATTTTTTTATTGAAAAGTTTGTGTTTCTGAGCCTCTGCTTCCTGCTGGAGTCCATCTGAGACATGGACATGATCCAGATTAGTGTTGCCAGGGTTTGTCCTCAGTCCTGCAGGCTGTTTGTCTCAGGCCTGGACACAAACAGTCTGAGAGGTTTCATTCTAAGATTTTAGTTTGTGTTTCTGCTCGTGTTACTGCAGCTTCCATGTCTTGGACAGAAACAAGACTTTAAATACGAGCAGACGTCTTTATGAGATAAAAAAAAAAAAAACTTGGTAATGATAACTTATTTATATGCCTTCAAACCCTCGTTTCCACTGAATGTTGAATACAGGTCTCTATTGAAAATGGGTCTTGGTGACTCAGTGAGACTAACCTGTATAAATAAAGGTTGAATGAATGGACAGAATTCCCATTTAGTTGATTTTATCTTTTTCAGAATGTATACTAGTGACATTTATTTATGACCATAGACCATTTTCAGCATTTTAGACATGCTGAGGATGCTCGGATGGTTCTTCAGGCTGTGATTCTGTGGATCTGAAGTTAAAACTTTGTGAAACGTTGATTTGGATCAGTTTATAGCGCCGGTTCTCAAAGTTAGGGTCCGGACCCGATGTGGGTCATAAAACAATCGGGTCCTAAGATGGTCTCTAAATACCACTTTAAATATATATATATTTATTTGAAAGGCGTGTTCTTACACTATCATACAATGAAGAATCTCTGAACAATAAAACAGCCATAATGGTGTTTAATTGGATTATGCGATTATTTTTATTTATTTAAACAGCAGAAATGGAATGGTTCTGTTTACCCTAATCCAATTCAATTCAGTGTTGGTTTGTCCCTGGTCGGGCTTTTCAGGAACGTTTTGGTTTGGATCAGACTACAGCAGAACCAAAACCACATGAACGAGTTGTTTTTTTAATTCATACTTCTTGTTTTACCAACGTTAATTCTCGCTTTAGTTGCAATTTATCTAATTTATTTTTGACTTTTAGGTTCAGTTCGGCTGATTTGACCTTTTAGCTGCAGTTTTGTAAATTTTACGATCACAATGCTGATTTTGTAAAAACTAAGAAAAGCCCGTTGTGTTTTTCTCAGGTTGTTGCGTCTCGGTCGTCTCCTGACCTTGAGGGTCCATATTTTGACCCCTAACCCCCCCCCCCCCCCCCCCCCAGCTCTTTTAGCTTCAGCTGTTTATTTGTTCGGGGCTTGTCTGCAGCCGAGCCGCACCTGATTCATGTTCGTGAGTGCGTTCAACGATGTTCTTTCTGTGTTATGTAACACGTTTGTTTACGCATGCTTCGTGTGTTTTTGTTCTTTGAACAACACTTCAACACTTCCTGTCCCCGGTACTCGGAGTTCTGTTGGGCTGGGTCGCTCCGGGTCGAGCTCAGTTCAGCCGTGAGCTGGTTAATCTGTAAACGACTCATCAGAGCGGCGCTGAGAAACTGGGCCAGACTGTTGTCTCTGTGGAACTGATGGTTTCTGGGTGAAACCAGCAGAACACAGAAAGACGTTAAAGGCCCAGCAGCTGCTCTGTGGCTGTGTTGGGGATGACTTTCAGCTACTACCACATCAAACAGCTGAATGTTTGCAGAGCTGACGGGACTTCAGCCACATTTGGCTTCAGGGGAAGCAGCAGCAGGAGGAGGAGGAACAGGGAGCGGGGGGTTCTGGTATTTTTCCACCGGCTGAACAAAACGTTTGTTTTGGTTCTGGTTTGAGGGCGTGGAACCTGCGTGTTTGGGTTTCTGCTCAAGGACAAGACGGGTCATCGGAACCGCAGCATCACCGTGTTGTTGGTCTGAGGCTGTTTGTGAACAAATCATTTAGTTTTGCAGGAAGTTGTGACGAAACGTGAGCGTTTGACCGAAGCAGTGAGTTACGAAAAAAACAAAACATTTAATTAAAAGAATCTAAACTTCACATAAAAAACAGTTTTATTTACTGCCCCAAACACAAACAAAAAACAGTAAACACTAATAAATTTAACAGAATCAAAGCTCTGATGCTGAAAGGCAAAGATGGGCAATCATGTTTTTGTATGCGAGTGTCTTTGTTTGTCTGTTAGCAAAATATCTAATGAACTTTGACCTGGTTGAAATGAAAATTTCAGGAAATAATTCTTAATGTTCGTCTACAAGCGATGGTCCATTTGGAGTCGAGCTCATTCAAGATGGCCGCCACAGCTAATCAACGTTAGCCAACACAAATGTGGGCGATATGCACGCGGAATGCTAAAATATATTTAAACATTTTAAAAATAAGTTGGAGGGTTTGTGATATTCAGATTGATAGTTTAATATATTTTAATTTTCTGTCTAATATTAAAAAAATTATCATGACTTTTATTTTTACAAGTATTTTCCATTTCAGTTATAAATAGAAAATCTTTTTTTTAAAAAAGACCATTTTTTATCTTTAATTCTTTTGTGGCTGAATGTTCTGGTGGGTTCTGGTCTTTATTTTATATCGTTGGAACAAGAACAAGTTTAATCTGGAGAGATTTTTAAAAGACCACATTAAAACAGAAAGGACAAGAAAACGGGACGAGACCCCGTTCTGAACTAGAGTCCAGAATCCGGTCTGCGAGACCCCGTTCTGAACGGGAGTCCAGAATCTGGTCTGCGAGACCCCGTTCTGAACTAGAGTCCAGAATCCGGTCTGCGAGACCCCGTTCTGAAC